GAGCTAATTTCGTGACCAAGGATGATGGTTCTTTTAAGTAGGAAAAAAAAACATTTTTTGGTAAATCTAACTTCACCATTTTGTTCACAACACCTTTTTATGCTAAGATTGACGAGTCACATGCCTCAATCTATGCTCATTTGCAACTTTTATGAAGGTTTTTTTTACTTACAAAGATTTTGCCAATTTTTGTAAAATTCTTTAAAAAATGAGAATTTCATTGCTCTACTTGTACTTAGAAGGAAAGGATGCTGATCTTGTTTTCTTCACTCCACATGGTGCATTGGGTGCCTCTATTGCATTTGAAAGACTTCCATAAATTAAAGTCTAATTTTTAATGTACTTTACCATGCATTTCGTGACTATATTCATTCATTTATGTACCCACTATTGACGAGATGGTGTAGTAGATCTCAGGGGAAAAATGTGGGAGGTTGTGAGCAACATGCACATTGCTTCATATTTGTAAGCATTGGGCATGCAATGGAAAATTTGTAGCTAGAAATGGCTAGGCGTTGTAGAGACTTAAGCTGCCTCATTGCGATTGAGACTACACAAGCTAAGACACTACCAATGCATCGAATCAAGCAATTGAATCATGACCCACATTCTCCTCTCCACATAGGATTAATAAACAACATGGCATTCAGAAGGAGAAAGACTGACAATGAGCTTAAGATTCCACCTACTCTCTAATATTTGTTTAAGATAGTTTGTTGATCGATTGCCTAGCTTCTAGCTATATGAGTATGATTCCCTAGCTTTTGAGATGGGGTGGGCAAGGAAAAACATCGAACAAATACTAGCTAAGTTTCAAGAATGATGTTTCTATGAGCATTAAGAGGGTGAGAATCATTCAGCATGGCAAACGATTAATCACATTCTTTTTGGAAAACAAGCAGAATGGCAGAATAGTGGTAACTACTAGCACACATTACTTCCTAAGAGTAGTATGAATGAAGGTACTCAATGCATTAAAGAATAACAGATTACAAGGCCTTACCCTTACACAGTCTAAGTACTGGCACACCCAATAGTATTATACATATAAACAACTAGATACTTATAGAACTAAATATAAGGAGCTCAGATTATACCAACATCCTCCCAAATCTGAGCCCTTTGGCAGAAAAAGGATCTAAGCCGTTAAGCCTGATTTGGAAGTTATGCAGAGACTCTCCCATTTTATTTTATTTTTTCTTGCTGCATCAGAGCAAGTTTATACAATAATCAGGTGGTGGTTTGCTATAGTAATTGTGTCAAGCAAAGAGTGTAGGCAATAGTACTCACAACATTCTAATTCAGATGTTGTTGGTTCATCACAGATACTTGGTAGTTATAGTGCAAAGTTGTGTTGTCCATAGTTGAGAAGTAGTGATAACCTTCAAACCCTTGAGAGTTTCTTCTCATTCATTGAGAGAAACTATGAGTTAATGTAAACAAATGTGGTAGTCTACTTGTTAAGTTTCTTGCTCATGTAACAATAATATTGGAGATGAGGGCGCTCCCTCCTCCTTTGTTCTTAATGAGTTCCATATGCCATTTGATCATGTTTTCTATTCTAATGATAGCAATGTCTAAGATAAAGGCACCTCTTCATCTTTGACTCCTCAGTTGCATTCTAATCGCTATAAGTTTAGATGTTAATTTTGTCACACATAATCTCCATTTCTCCTACCTTTGCATACTTTGAGGATTGAGCTTCATTGCGTTTTGGTTGGTATGCTAGAGTCAGTCTAGGCTATAAGTGTTTTTTATTCTAATTTCAAGAGTCTCTAGTTTCTCAAACTTTAGTAATAGTTATTATAATTTTTTCTTGAATATAAATATTTACTTAATTTCTTTTTATAATCTTTCTTTAAAAAATATTTTACTTGTTTATTTACATTCTTTGAGTTCTTATTCTTGACAACTAGTCTTCTAACAATAATAAGTATATATTATATAGTAGTATTGTTTTGTTAAATAAATAATTAATTTAGGTACTCAAAGTATTCTACTTAAAAAGTTTTAATAACAAAACTTTGTGTAGAATATACAAAAAACTATAAAAAAGAGGTTCATTCTTTTAAATAGACCTACTTACTTGACCATTGTGTTTTTATTTGTATTGGATTAGAACAAAATTGTTTGCAAATAATAGACAATATCTAAATAGCATTATTATCACTTTTAGATCAAATTATAGTATGTAAGATCTAAAGACCAATATATATAATTTAATTTGAAATTGGTAATAGAATAATTGTGAACATATATATATATATATATATATATATATATATATACAAATTTATGTATTTCATGAATGAATCTTTTCTTAAATTATTTCTATGCATATAATAAATTTAAATATATATGTGTATATATATATATATGTGTATATATATATATATGTGTATATATATATATATGTGTATATATATATATATGTGTATATATATATATATGTGTATATATATATATATGTGTATATATATATATATGTGTATATATATATATATGTGTATATATATATATATGTGTATATATATATATATGTGTATATATATATATATGTGTATATATATATATATATATATATATATATATATATATATATGTGTATATATATATATATGTGTATATATATATATATGTGTATATATATATATATGTGTATATATATATATATGTGTATATATATATATATATGTGTATATATATATATATATGTGTATATATATATATATATGTGTATATATATATATATGTGTGTATATATATATATATATATATATATATATGTATATATATATATATATATGTGTGTATATATATATATATATGGGTATAAATAAATATATATGTGTATATATATATATATAACTAGTATATTATATATAGATATATCTCACTAGCTCACTCTCACATATTATTTTTAAAATATAATAAGACTCTCTCTGAAAATTTTTTATTTTAC